ATCAGTAGTCATCAGCAGTTTTAATGTATATTTCAGTCTGGTAAGTTATGAAAATGCAGGTTTTGACTATAATCTGCTCGAAATCATCAGCGAAAACCAATTATTTGTCCCAGAAAAGGGGATTTTAAGTAAATAATTGCTTTTCTAAGGTAGATTTCGGTACAATAAGACTCGAAAAAACCAATTTTCACTGGGATCTGCTTGAAATGAGGAAGAAAACCAACCAACCAAGAAAGTGGGTTTTTAAGTAGTCATCTGCAGGTTTAATGTAGATTCCCGTCGGGTAAGTTATGAAAATGCGTCTTTGGCTATAATCTGCCGTAAATCAAGCGCGAAAAGAAATTATTTGTCCCAAAAGGAGGGGTTTTCTGCATTTCTAAGTTAGATTTCGATGCAATAAAAGGTGAAAACGCAGATCCTGGCTGGGATCTTATCGAAATCGCCAACTATTTGATTCAGAAAGGGGGTTTTACATCGATATCTAATGCTTTATAAAAGTTTGTGTTATTCTAATGCCCGAAGACACCGATTTTGACTAGTATTTGAAAGATATTGACATGAACATGTAACCTTTTGGGTCAAAAAATGATAGTTTAAGCTGATATTTGCAGTTTTGATGCGGTTTTAGGAACGATTTGTTTCGGAGGAGCCGATTTTGGCTAGAATCTGTTTGAAAAAATATGAAAAACCTACTATCAATTCAAGAAACCGGGTTTTTAAGTAGTTATCTGCAGTATTAATGTAGATTTCAGTAATGTAAGTTATAAGTTATTAAACTGCAGGTTTCGACGATAATCCGCTAGAAATCAAGGGCGAAAATCAATTATTTGTCCCAATAAACGGGGTTTTAAGTACATATCTGCATTTATAAGTTAGATTTCGGTGCAATAAGAGGCTAAAAAGTACATCCCGACTGCGATCTTATCGAAATCGAAAAACTATTTGACTCAGAAAGGCGGTTTTACCTTGATACCTAATGGTTTATTACGGTTTTAGTTACTATACAGCCCGAAGACGCCTATTTTAACTAATATTTGAAAGATATTGACACGGAAATGTAACTGTTTATCAAAAAATGATAGTTTAAGCAAAATAAATAAGAAATAAAAGTTCAAATTTTTTCGAAATTATATATTTTTACATGACAATTGTTTCGACAACACCGTTCAAACAGGGTCAAACAACGAACGGATGAACACCCGTATATATATATATATATATATATATATATATATATATATATATATATATATATATATATATATATATATATATATATATATATATATATATATATATATATATATATATATATATATATATATATATATATATATATATATATATATATATATCTTATCGACGCATTGATTACGCGGTTGGTTGATGTTGCGGACATTATATACCTAAGACGGCAAGCGAAAACTATAGTTACAACTATAGTTAACCTCGGTGCACCTTTTATAAGATTGGTTATATGCAATAACAATAAAAAGATGTGCGTGCAAAATTTGCAATTTTATTTCGACCGGCAACCAATAAAACATAATAACACAGCAATACGAGCAAGTCAAAATTAATTATCATTTGGAAGTGATGAATAGCCCGATAAGCAACATCCATGAGCTTGCCGCGGAATACCTTATTAAATATGCGGTCTATGTAGCTTAAGTTTTCCGATAAACAGAAAAACGATTTCAATCTCCAGGCTTATTTGCATTGCTTTATTCACTATAATCTACCGGACATATGCAAATCACAAACGATTGCTTTCAATAATTATAATAGCAGCTACCTTAACTATAAGGAGGACCATTTTGGGACAGACCTTCAAAAGATATTGATTCTACTTTATCTAGTGAGCGGTACTTGTTTGCTTTTATTATCAAAGTGTCTAAGTGTGTCAAAGTGCCAAAAACCTGTACTAAATGTAGCATAAATAACTAGCGTTCGTATCACTAGAAGCGACAAATACATGGATTTTCAACTAGAAGAATATTCGGATTTTCTAAAAAAGAGCTTTATAGAAGTTGTTAAAAAAAATCTCGGAAAAGAAGATATTGAAGAAATGATGTCAAAAAGGCACCGTCTTCTTAACGCTATTAATTTATACCAACAAGTCAATATTTAATCAATAAATAATTTCAATACTTCAGTACTTATATTTGTCGGCGAAAAAAGATCTTTGTTCAAACTAAATATCTTATAAATTTTTTCGTTTAATTCCTTAATATACCGGTCAATCATTTGTTTCAGGCTAACGGTAACATGTTTACCCAGCTTCTGTATCTCCGTGATACTTGTGTAACCTTAAGGTCACTGTTATGGAGATAAAAGTTAACAAAATATGCTCAAATTCCTATTAGTAATATCTGCAAAACAACAAGTTTAACAAGTGAGCAGTAACGTATGTTCTTTGATTCTACAAACAATTCTAGAAAAAAATTATCGTTATTAGTGCAACCATTTTGTTACCATGTCTCAAATCAGCGAGTAAAGTGATATTAAAGTGATAGTAAATTTTATTTATAATAATTTTGTTTATGAACCTTTAAACACAGAATTAAGCCGATTTTTTTTTGGGTTAATAACCGTAATTAAATCTCTATTCTTTGTACTGTGTGTTATTTCTGCGGGGATCATCAATACGACCCTTTAGGGCATTATTATTTAGGTTAATAGGTTCAGAATTTTTGTAACAATTGTATTTTTAAACAAATCATTTATTTATGTATACAGTTCTGCTGTATTTATGACGCCGATATTTGTCAACTCAGAAGGGCATTTTTTTTGGATTAATAAGTGTAAGGATCATCAAATAAAACAACGTAGTGAAGCAGAATCGAATTTAATTCTCTCGGTTCGACAACTACGTCTTAACTAACTTATCGTAAACCCAAAAAACATCGCATAATAAGACCCTAATTATCTCCTCACCGCAACTTGCCCTCCCTGTCCTTTTTGCCTGAGACGCCGATACATTTTACGATCGGCAAAAAAAACAAGGCGGCGCCTCTTTGTTACGGGGTCTTGTCGGATATGACGTAATAATATAAATATTCTAACATAAGATTCATTAAATCTCTATCGTGTGTCTTTTTCGGCTAGCGTCATTACACCTCTTCGTTCGGCATTGTTCTTTAGGTTAACAATTTCTACAATAAATGTAAAAATTATTAACAGCTTTTGGGTGTTTTATATTATATATTTTTACATGACAATTGTTTCGACAACACCGTTCAAACAGGGTCAAACAACAAAAGGATGAACACCCGTATATATATATATATATATATATATATATATATATATATATATATATATATATATATATATATATATATATATATATGATGACACTATACTCCGGGATATCATCCGTTCGCTCGTTGAACTCCGACTGGAATCCTGCATCCGACTGGAATCCTGCAAATCCTGCATCCGACTGGAATCCTGCAGACGTTTCGCCAAAATCTCACTTGGCATCTTCAATGCTTGCGCTCCGAAAACACTTCGAACACTCGAGCGCAAGCATTGAAGATGCCAAGTGAGATTTTGGCGAAACGTCTGCAGGATTCCAGTCGGATGCAGGATTTGCAGGATTCCAGTCGGAGTTCAACGAGCGAACGGATGATATCCCGGAGTATAGTGTCATCACATTTTTCCATCCGTGAATCAATACGTGAGAATATATATATATATATATATATATATATATATATATATATATATATATATATATATATATATATATATAAGTGTTTTCGGAGCGCGAGCATCGAAGATGCCAAGTGAGATTTTGGCGAAACGTCTGCAGGATTCCAGTCGGATGCAAGATTTGCAGGATTCCAGTCGGATGCAGGATTCCAGTCGGAGTTCAACGAGCGAACGGATGATATCCCGGAATATAGTGTCATCATATATATATATATATATATATATATATATATATATATATATATATATATATATATATATATATATATATATATATATATATATATATATATATATATATATATATATATATATATATATATATATACATATATATATATATATATATATATATATATATATATATATATATATATATATATATATATATATATACATATATATATATATATATATATATATATATATATATATATATATATATATATATATATATATATATATACATATATATATATATATATATATATATATATATATATATATATATATATATATATATATATATATATATATATATATATATATATATATATATATATATATATATATATATATATATATATATATATATATATATATTGTAAAGGGTTGGGGGAAGGTGGTTGTAAATCACCCTCAAAAATTAAACGAGAAAGAGCTGCAAGAAAACGGTAGGACATACAACACCCGAAACGGTTAATCACCCACCTTGATGGTTTCCCGCGTCGTCGTCTGCCCGGCCGGGTCTTCTTAGGGGTATTTTCTGGGGGGTTGGGGGTGGTATTTACCACAACACAGCGCGGGGTTCTCGCGAACCGGTCACAAAAGAGAGCTTGTTTTTTCGTGGTTCGCACTACGGACGCTCACGCAAGTCTGTCTTTTCGCGCGGCTTAACCAAGGTCGGGTATGGTGGGGGTGTTGTATACACAGCGCGAAAATAAAAAGTTAACCCAAGGGAAAAAAAATTATGAAGTTACCGAAAAATGTTATTCAACCCTTAACATTCCGGCCTCCCAAAAATACCCAATTTTTCCCATAAACTTATCCTATACTATATACACGGTTGCCCCTTGAACAGGTTAACAGTTAGGGACAAAAGATAATTTGACCAAAGGTCGATCGAAAGTGCCTTTGGCCGTGTGCACTTGCACAACGCGAATTTCCTTGTCGGAACTGGGGTACAAGCGCGTGATGCGGCCCAGAAGCCACTTTAACGGGGGGAGGTTCTCGTCTTTAATTAAAACCAACTGACCAACTTTTGGGGGGTTAGTCGTGGTGTTCTACTTGTGCCGTTGCTGCGGCTGGTGGAGGTATTCCCGATGCCATCTGTCCCAGAAGTGCTGATGCAACTGCTGCATGAGCTGCCAACGAGTGAGTCTGTTAGTGTTCAGATTTGCTAAAGTGTCGTCGGGAGGGGCAGATAGGGGCTCCAGGATCAGAAAATGCCCAGGAGTAAGGCTATGCAAATCGTTTGGGTTGGAACTCAAACTACATAATGGGCGGGAATTCAGTATGGATTCCACCTGAGCTAACACTGTCGACATTTCCTCGAAAGTCAGGACACGAAACAAATGGGTCTTTACCGACTTGACGCCGGCCTCCCAAAGACCTCCAAAGTGAGGACTGGAGGGTGCGTTGAAGTGCCAGCGCACCTCACACTGGTCGGCGGACTGCTGGCAATACTGTACCAACAACCGGTTAGCACCGACAAAATTTCTACCCTGATCACTATACATGTCAGTGCAACGCCCGCGGCGAGCGACAAAGCGCCGAAAAGCGGCCAAGAATGCGTCTGAGCTGAGTTCAGAAGTCAATTCCAAATGGATGGCTTTGGTAGCCATGCAAACGAATAGGCAAATGTAAGCCTTTTGAGTCTTAGCGCCGCGCCTTCGCGCAAGGGTAATGGAAATTGGACCGGCGAAATCGACACCGGTATGCGCGAATGGCTTGATTTGTGATACACGAACGGGGGGTAAATCAGCCATGAATGGCTGTACACAAGAAGGTTGGACACGGAAGCATCGGTAACACTGCGATAGGGTGTGACGAATTGCTCGTGTTGTGAAATCTGGTACAACAACGATTGGGGGCCCGGGTAGCAATTTTCCATAATGGAACTTTTCGGTCACGAGTTCGGTAAAGCGATGGTCTCGAGGTAGTAGAAGAGGATGTTTTGCGTCGAAAGACAACGCAGAACCTCGGAGTCTGCCACCGACTCGAATGAGACCGTGCTCGTCGATAAAGGGCGATAGGGAGCGTAAAGGTTTGGGGCACAGTTTACCGTTTCGAAGACACTTCAACAAACCGGCGAACACCTCACGTTGGACGTATCCTGTCAGCAACGTGCGGGCGCGGTACGTGTCCGCAAAAGACAAATTATCAAGCGCTCGCTTCGGAACGGGGGTACGACAATTATTTAGAAACCTACAACAATAAGCCAGGATCCTCTCAATTTTTCGTAACGACGAGAAACAGGTTAACAGTTCTCCTAGCGAGTCAACTAAAGGGGTGGACACAGAAGTCAACACTGGCTTACGTTCCAGTTCCAGATCGTCTCCGGGGGTGAAGTCGGAGGTGGGCCACTCTTCCACCGGAAGACGCAACCAAGGGGGACCACAGAACCAAGAAGGGTGAATTAATATTTGCTCGGGGAAAAGCCCTCGGGATGCGCAGTCAGCAGTGTTGGATGAACCGGCGACGTGATGCCAGGAACTGGGGGAAATGATGTCCTGAATGAGGGACACGCGATTGGCCACAAAAGTTTTCCATCTGTGGGGGGAGGACTTTATCCAAGACAACGCAATTTTGGAGTCACTCCAGGCGAATACTCTCGTGATAGTCAACTCAGAGGCTATAGTGGATCGGACGAAATCTACGAGTTGGGCGAGCAGCAACGCTGAGCACAACTCCAGACGGGGGATCGACACTCGTTTCAAAGGCGCTACCCGATTCTTTGCACACAGAAGGGTGACAGAGATATGGTCCTCTCTGACGCTTCGCAAATACACGGCGGCACCGTATCCGCGCTCCGAGGCGTCACAAAATCCGTGCGTTTTCACCTGGACGCCATTGCTAGGCAGTACCCGACGAGGGATTGTCAGCCCAGAAAGACTGTCCAGCTGAGACGAAAACGAACTCCAACCTTCGAATATGTCGCGCGGGGGAGGTGCAACCCAATCGACGCCCTGGGACCAAAGCCTCTGTAGCAGAATTTTGGCAGTCAACACGACCGGGGATAAAAAACCTAGGGGATCGTATATTTGGGCTACTTGCGACAAAATATTCCTTTTTATGCACGTCCTATCCGCTACTTGGATGCGGTAGGAGAACACATCCCGTAAGGGACACCACTGCAATCCCAACACCTTTAAACTGGGATTGTCGTCTCCGCAGAGGGAAACGGGTTGATGATGTGAAGCGGGGAGTGAACTCAATAACTCGGAGGAGTTATTGAGCTTTAGCAGCGATACTAATTGATCCCTCAACTCACGGGCTTCCTCCAACGAGTCTGTTCCTCCGATAATGTCGTCGATGTAGGTTTGGCAATCTAGGAGACGGGCTGCTAACGGGTAACGCGCTCCTTCGTCCCTAGCAAGCTGATGCAACACGCGAATAGCCAAGTATGGGCTACAACTTAGTCCATAGACCACCGTTGACAAGACGTACTCTCGCACTGCTTCGCGGGGATCAAAACGCCACAGAATCCGCTGGCAGAGGTGGTCGGCGTCACTCACTAGGATTTGACGATACATCTGACGAATATCGGTGGTGAAAACCACACAGTACAGTCGAAAGATGAGCTAAATGCCTCCAATGTCGGATTGGAGCTTGGGACCCGTAAATAGAAGATCGTTCAGAGACCGTCCGTTGGAAGTTTTGGCTGAAGCATCAAATACAACACGCAATTCAAGGGGTTCGCTATGTGGCTTCCAGACGGCGTGATGAGGAATGTAGTAACCTTGGGGAGAGGGGGGCAGGTCGCTAACGAGTGCCATGTGACCTTGTTCCCAATAATCTCTCAAGAACTCGTTGTAGGCTAATCGCAAAGTTGGGTTCTTGGCCAAACGCGCCTCTAACAACTGGAATCGCCTAAGGGCTTGAAGGTAAGATTCACCAAGTGAAGGGTGTTTTTCCTTAAAGGGTAAGGATACGACGTATCTACCTGAAAGGGCACGGGAATGGGTAGAGAGAAAGATCTCCTCACACAATTTGTCTTCAGGAGACATAAAGGTCTTTGAAGGGACAGACTCGAGTTCCCAAAATCTCTTCAAAGAAACATCAACAGCAGTACTCACAGTGGTATAAAAACTAAAGAGAGAAGATGGTTCTAAAGAATTCACTTTTCCTAGGACAACCCATCCGAAGATGGTCCGAAAAGCGCATGGGCCACCGTTCTGTCCTTTTCTAAATCCAGGCAAACAAATATCTCCGTAAACCTCTGCCCCTAAAAGCACGTCTATTTCGTTGGGTTTACAGAAGTGGGGATCAGCCAAGGGTAGGGACCTGAGATGTTTTAGATTCTGCTTATCAATCACCTGGTAGGGTACCTTATCACAAATAGATGGAATAACTAAAGCCTCTATATGGAGAGCAGGGGATTTTCTTTGGGAGGGGGTCACGCCCAGGGCAACCTTCCCTAACGCAGACGTCAACATTTGGTTGAGGGCTTGAATTGGTGTCGGGGAGAGAGACCTTGGAAGCTCCAATTTCTTCGCAAAGGAATCTGTCACAAAACTGGCTTGACTAGATGAATCCAACAGTGCACGACAAGTAACAAGTCTGCCAGATTTATCCGAAACGGACACCAAGCAAGTGACAAAGAGCACGACCTTTTGACAGGAGAGATTGGTCATCATGGTCACCGGACTAGGGATAGTACCTTCCTGGTTGCCGGGAGCAAGGGGAGCTTCATTCGACGGGGAGGGGGTAGTAGCATTTCCAAAATGCACTAAAGTATGGTGGCGCTTGCCACATACACGACAATTAATCTTGGAGGGGCATCTTCCAACACCATGGGATCGCGCGAAGCAATTAAAGCACAAACGATGTTGCTTGATGAACACATGCCTTTGAGGGGGCTCAAGAGATAGGAAGGGATCACACTTTGTCAGAGGATGGTAGTCCATAGGGCAGTATAAACACTTACTCGTGCAACTCACATCAGCACTCGGAGGGGTAGACGTCGCTATCATAGATGTGGGTCCACGTGTATCGGTTGAAACTCGCTTCGAAACCTCAAGCCTCTTAATTCAATGAATTCGCGTCTGTCTTTACTTAGACGGCTGACTAGATTGAAGTCAGTCGTTAAAGTCGGACAACAAACTCAATAACAACATCCAAGGCTCCAGGTGGTAATCGAACCTACAACCTGCTGCAAGTCAAGTTGGCAGGTCTAACGACTTACCAACCGAGCCATCCTCGATCACTCAAAAAAAAATTATTCTTTTTTTATTTAGTTGCACGAATTGCTATTTTTCGATTATTTAATTATTATTGCATATATAAATCTTCAGCTCCATTAAGCAACATTATTAAAATAATGTTTTAATTAAACAAAGTGGCACCAACCAGTTTTGTTTTTTTATATGCGAATATTTTGCAATAACTTCTGAATCTTTTTAAATTTTTGGGTACATTTTTAGAACTATTACTTTCTTCCGAAAATTTCTACTAAATACCATTTAGAGCGTCGTTCGAAGTATTAGAAATATTGAATATTAATATTTATATTATAGAAATATCCAATATAAATGGTTGTCTAATGCAATAGGAAAAGAGGTTGTTGGAATTTGCAAATTAAAATATCATTTGCTAAATACTTATCTAAATAACTGGGTAATAAAGTACTTTGATTTGATAATAATATATTAATATTAATATGTCGCCTATTAAAATCCGCAACATATAAAAACTATTTTAAACTATTTTCTTGAACGATTTAAGTTCTTCAATTTTGCTTTTAATCAAACCAAAATAAATGAAAAAAGAAACATTTCTACATTTTAGTAACAGTAATCATTTTGAAATGAACTGATAGAAGTTATTCGATAAAAGTGTTCTTTTTAATAGTTATTTTTCTTCATTGTCCCCTAAGATATAAATAAAAATAAAGTTGTACAAGGAATAAGTGGGACAAAAAGTAAAGAATTTAGCTCCGCCTCTCTCAAATAGTGGGTTCAGAATAGAATGTGAGCAAGCTTCATTTAAGTTCTGAAGAAGCCATCAGGATGATTGGCGAAACGTCAGCTAACTTTATTTATAAACAGACAATGCAGAAGTGATCTAAAAGGTTTGTAAATAGCCGTCTGAAGAAAATGTTAATTTTGACGAGTAACGAATGCCGCTCTCATCGCAGTTGTCTGTGTTCTTTATAATTTTATAAAAATTTAAAAAATCATTATTTTTATTAAAACTGAAATAGTTTCTTCTAATTATTCCTTCTAAATATACTAAATAACCAACATCTGCCCATTTTAGACCAACATTAAACACACACAACACAGTAATATGATGCCTCAGTTGGCCTCGTAAAAGAAAATAATTGAAAATGACATTAATTCCTAAATTAACAGGCTGAACCGGGCTAGAGGTTAGGCAAATTTATAATAATAATAAAAAACTAATTGATACTCACAATTTACCCGAAAAATATTCCTCTACCAAAATAAGATCGAACATATCGCCGACCTTAAAATCACCAAGAAAACAAAACGAAAATGAGAAAAAAAAACATTTTCTTCTAAATTTATTCTAAATAAGGTAAACGACATAGTTTGGATATGGGCCTTTGCAAAAAACCGTTTCTAGTTCTAACTGTCGCTACTCGGCAAATACCGTCAGTTCCAGGATGAACCTGTGTTACTCGGGCAAGTAACCATCGAAGGGGCGTATTTAATTCGTCTTTTATGACTACCATATCTCCTATGTTTAATAAGGGGTATTTTTTTTGTCCATTTCAAACGCTGCTGAAGCGTGTTCAAATAATCGTGATGCCACCGCTTCCAGAATTCGCTATGCAATCGTTGGATCAATTCCCAACGTTGTAAAGTATTAATATTAGCGTTCGTATAATCCTTAGAAGGTAAAGAAGTAAAAGGCTCCAGAGTTAAAAAATGCCCTGGAGTCAAAGCGCTTATGTCATTAGGGTCACTACTCAAAGGGTGTAAAGGTCTTGAGTTTAAAACAGATTCGATGCAACATAGCGTTGTATACATTTCCTCGAAAGTTAATTTGTTTCGCCCTATTGACCGAACCAGGTGATACTTCATGATACGCACACCAGCTTCCCATAACCCTCCGAAATTAGGTGCTGATGGTGGATTAAAGTACCATTTCATTTTTTCCATCTCAACGGCATTTTTCATGAGCTCCACCAGTTGTCTATTGGTACCAATAAAATTGGTACCACAATCGGAGCGTCCTCTATGTGCGATAAAGCGCTTTAAAGCACCAACGAAAGCGTCAGTACACAAACTGGAAACCAGTTCTAAATGTATGGCCTTAACGGCACAACAAACAAAAATACAAACATATGCCTTCTGGGCCTTTATCCATCTGCCCTTTAAAGGCGTTATAGAAAAGGGACCTACAAAGTCCACCCCTACTTCCTGAAATGGCTTGGCCTGTGATACACGTCCTGCCGGTAAATCGCTCATGTATGGTACAACAGGCTTGGGATCCACTCGAAAGCATCTTAAACAACGAGACAAACACCTACGAATAGCATTTATCGCTGGAAGTATCCAGAACTGTTGTAGAATCAAAAAATTCAATGTTTGCAAACCCGGATGCAAATATTTCCTGTGTAAATAAAATATTATCAGTTCAGTAAGACGATGTTTTTGAGGGAGTAACAATGGAAATTTCCTGTCATGTGGCAAAGATTTGGAATTTATCAAGCGACCGCCGACTCTCAAGAAACCTTGATTATTCATAAATGGATTCAATTTTTTTAAAACCTTATCTACGCTTTTGTTTTTTTCTAGCTTATATATAGCATCAAAGAAAACCTCACGTTGTACTTGCCAAACGAGACACAAAAGTGCATTGTTTATATCTTCTTCGCAAAGAGTCTCTGAACAAGCGGCAACCGGATTTTGGCGTTTTGTACGAATATTATTGCAAAATTTTACACAATATGCAATGATCCTTAAAATTTTTTCCAATGAAGAATATCTATTAAACACACCATACGGGTCCGATATGGAAATTAACGTCGTCATAGATTTGCTCTCCTCTTCTAAGCATTCAGAGGGATCTTCGGTCGATAAATCGCGAGGCCAATGATCAGAAGAGTAACGAAGAAACCGAGGCCCATGAAACCAAGTAGGGTGTTCTAAGAATTGTGAAGGAATAAGTCCTCTACTGGCACAATCTGCGGGGTTATCGTTAATAGGAATATAACTATAACAACTATCACGAGAAATCTTATCTTGGATATGACTTACTCGATTACTAACGAATGTTTGCCATCTATGAGCAGAGAGACCACGCAAAAAAAATTTTAATTATAATTTTATTCAGAGCATCACGAATAAACTCTACTAAATTTGACAACAAAACAGCAGCACATAGTTCCAAACGGGGCAAGGTTATTCTTTTCACAGGTGCGACTTTCTATTTTTCAGCAACGAAATAAATTTTATGCTCGCCATTTACAAAAACCCGAAGGAAGACCACACACCCATATTCGCTTTGGCTAGCATCGCAAAATCCATGCATTTCACATTCAGCTTGAAACACATACATGCCTAGGAATTTTTAGAGAAGATAACAGATCCAACTCACACTGAAATTTTCTCCATTTCGCGGTAATTTCGGGGGGAGGTTCCTGGTTCCAATCAAGGCCCAAGCTTCATAGCTGTTGAATTAAACATTTAGCGAACAACGTTAGGGGCGCAATCATGCCCAAAAGATCAAAAATTCTAGCTAAATTTGACAAAATCCCTCTTTTGGTACACTCGGTACTCGAAATATTACCAATTTTAAAAATGAAACTATCAAAAGCTGGTTGCCACTGCAACCCAAGAAGTTTGAGGCATAGCGGTTCGACTGTATCAAAGTTAATGGGTTGCTGATGTTCAAGAGGGGTTCAACTAAAATTCTTACATGTAAGCAATTCTCCTACCAACGAAAAATCCGAGAGTTTATAGAAATCTGTAAACAACCTAACAATCTTAACCGCGACTCAGGTCTCTACATGTCACCAATATGGGAATCAGTCATCCGAGATGGTGGTTATGCCCCTTATTTAGTTCCGCCCCCATCAAACAATATATAAGCAGGTACAGAGTAAAATACGAGCCAGCGAAACGTTAGCAAGTTCGACTCAGCAAAAACTGATGCAGGAGGAATCCAGAAGTTTAGTACAAAGTATTACAGTAGCCTGTGGAAGTTTCTTTGAAAAATTAATATTAGTATTTATTTTCAATTATTAAGTTGTAAAAAAAGTGGTTTAGATTTCCATTTAAAAAATACTGGTTATTAGGGCACCAATGAAATTAACACTTTTTATGCAAGTTTACGTCCATCCAGCGCCTGACTAACGTAGATACAAGTGCAATATTTCTGGCAAACATATTGCCTTAAAATCAATCAAAGAATTACTTTCCGAAATCGGGCGACGTATTAAAGAAAACATATACACAATAAATTAAGTTTAGCAAAGGGCTCTGAAAACTAACAAATATAATAAAATAAGAAAATAAAACAGTACGCAACAAAGCATTTTTCTAAAAATAGCGAAAATATCGATTGCCTTATACCCGCTCGACTGTGCACAGTCATGTTAAAAAGGAGAAGCGTGTTCTGAAGACGATACCTATTTATATGTATTTTAATACACAATAAATCGGGCAACGTTGCTCGGACGCTCAGAAATCTGCGCAATAAATGAAAAATATACATAAGGACGCTGGGATGCTGGAATGTAAAAGTTTTCCCGTGTATATTGGACGGAGGGTGTGTCGATTATCGGTAAAAAAAAACAAAAAGGTCCTGAAAATTTCCGTTTTCGTGGGAAAATTATTTGCCGTAAATGAAAATCTATGAAACAAGGGACAATTTGGTTTAAACAGTCTAGAACATTGTGTCGAGAGAGAGTCTCAGGTTTCATCTATCATACAGGGTGCGCTAGATATTTGAAATCGCTATTATTTGTGCAAATTATTACATTTATCAAATTTTGCCGTGACTTTGAAGTTCCGCTAGTCGTGAAGGGCATTTTATACAGACGAAGGATCATTTTCTGGTAGTAGCAGTTTCAATTTTGGCTCTGATGATGATCGTAAATACAAACTAAATATGGTTTGCTTGTATATTCGCTCTTGGCAAATTATATTGTATACGGTATGATATATATTTTTTTAATTTTCCCGTTTTTTGTTATTGTTTTAATTTTTATTGCATGGTCACAGGTTTCGGACAATAGTTTATTTAACAGATTATCATAATTTGTAGATTCACATACTTAAATATTCGCATAAACTTAAGGAACACTACATAGAAAATACACGAATCCGTCTCTGAGTAAGGGCGTACTAGTTGATTAATAAATGCCACTATTGATTATGTCTCTCCTACTCCCAAGTGGGGTATTTTTTTAACTTTTCCTTAGACGCTGGTCATAAATTAAAAATAGTAATAAAAATAATAACATGCACGGCATTTTAACGAGCAATTCCCTGAACTTACTATTTTTATTAGTACAAATGTAAATGGAGACTTGTGACGCACCACTATATATTAGGAAAATTGTAAACAATTTGCTTTGTAATAACAACGAGACTATAAGTAATAAATATAAGTTAACTCATTAGACCAATAGTTTACTGGGTGACATATGGCAAAGCTTTTTCTACGAAAACATATTCCATTGACATATTAACAATTGTTTTTTTGTTAAAGGTTTATTAACGTTTTCGGCTAAACATCTGCGAGAGAACGTTCCCCACTGCGTACAACGTTTTGACCAACTAAAAACGAAAACACATTAATGAACATTAATTAATAAAAGAACGAACAAATTAAAAATAATATTGAAATATTCAATTATCAATTATTTCTAAAACTTATTTCAAGGGCAGTTACTAAAATCTTATCTAAAACTGACATGATTTCTTTCTGCTGTTTCGAAATTTACAAGGAGACCCGGTAAGAAGCATAACTATAGAAATAATATTATCAAGATGCTGAGAAATTTTAATGGAGATTTGGCAAATATCTCTGTAATTATTTCAAAAAGAGCGCCCTATTGACAGTAGAACAAATTATTTTCTTCAACGTGACCAAGTTTCTTAAAATACGTTCAGTCATTTAGGATAGTTGCAGCTGTTCATAGGAAACCAGAGAAGAATCCCAACACTTTTTTTTTAATATACCGGATGTCCCAGTAAGGGCAACAAGATACAGTATTAGGGCAACGAAATGTCCCAGAAATTAGAAAAAATGTGTAGTACGTAAATCCCTCTGTGGTTGAGCAATCCATGAGGCGCGTCCCCCGGGTGGCGGATAGGGGAGTCCAGGCTCTCACGGGCCTGGGTGACTGGGAAAAAGGAGGCATGAGGATGTAAAAATCCAATAGGGCTGACAAATAACCAGTCGTGGACCAGCTCACCCTGCCCAGTCGGTGGATAAACCAGGCGTCGGGTGGAGTAAACCTCAATAAAAATCCTAAATCCTACGGTGGGAGGTCGGGCCTAGGGGATGCATGGCTGGATATGAGATTAGTCGCTACCGATCCCAACCCCGAGGAACCGGGCGCACCTCGGGGAATGAAGCCTTACCTCTGCATGCGGGGCTCTGCAGAGGTGGACCGTTTTTTTCCCTAGCTACTCGTGCAACCTATATGGAACCGGAAATAATACCTGCGAAGGAGAAGAAGGGGCCCCAGGGAGGCTCCAACAAGCAGGGGCGTCCTCAGGAAGGCCTCCTCCTAGGCGATCTGAACAGGATCCCCAGGTCGCGAGCGGGGTGGAGGGCCCGGTATAAACCGGGAACACCACCTCGACGACACACCGCCCCAGACATAGGAGTGGGGCTGAAAAAAAGAGGGCGAAGAAGAAGAGACTCGCGGTGACGGTTCCGGAACCGCAGACGGGCTCTCTTCCGGTGCCCAGGGAGGCTCCATAGGGGGCACACCGGAAACGGCAGGGGGAAAGCGGAAAAGGAAGATGGGAGAGACCACCCAGATTGGGGCACCGAATCTTCCTCTTTTGATTGGCTGCGACAGCAATGCTCACCACGTTTTGTGGGACAGCGCGGCAATTGATAGAAGGGGGGGAGACCTCGTGGAGTTCATGGCCTCCGCAGGGCTGCAGGTAGCCAACAGAGGGGTAGAACTCACGTTTTTCACGAATGGTCGGAGCTCGTTTATAGACTTAACACTTTGTACCATCTATGTTGGACCATAGATACATCACCTTTGGGTTGGAGATGGGTGTTCGGGAACCCGTTAGATTTAGGAACCCCCGGGCAACAAACTGGGAACTCTATAGGGAGGAGCTCGCTTGGCACCTAGGGGGTTTACCAAGAAAACACCAGACATTCGAGGAGATTGACGAGGCCGCCGACCGCGTCTGCTCCGCTATGATACGGGCTTTCGAGAAGAGCTGCCCTAAGACAGAGGAACATAAGGCGGGGATGACTCCTTGGTGGAGCTCTTCCCTGGAGCGTCTCAGGAGGAGAGTGCGGAGGCTGTTCAATACAGCGAGGAGCGGCAGCCAAGGTGCGGACTGAGATCTCTATAGGGAGGTCCGCAGACAGTACAAAAAAGAATTACGAGCATCACAGAGGAAGGCCTAGAGGAGCTAATGCGACGATATAATGAATACCCCGGACGCGGCTAGGCTCCTTAGGGTACTCAGAAGTGACCCTGCGGGAAGACTGCAGGACCGGTGGTGGCTACACAGCGGGGCCAGCGGACACACTACAACAGTTGCTGACCACGCACTTCCCAGGGTCCGCTGATCCGGACACAGGGGGGAATGTTGAAGCCGGGCGCCGTCTTGGATGCGACTACGTCACGACAAGGAGGGTGGTTACCCATAATAGGCTGAGGTGGGCTATTGACAGCTTTGGCCCCTTCAAGTCGGCGGGCGGGGATGGAGTATTTCCGGCTCTGCTGCAAAAGGACAGAGGTCTAGAGCCTCCATTGCGAGGGGGTACGTGCATGAGCTGTGGAGACACAGCAGGATGGTGTTCATTCCCAAGGAAGGGAAGAGTGACTACACGGACCCGAAGTCGTACCGGCCTGTTTGCCTCACCAGCTTCATTATGAAGACTCTGGAGAGACTGGTGGACCGGTATCTGAGGAACTGGGTGGAGCTGAAGACCCCTTTAGAGCCAGCTCAGCATGCGTACAGAAGTGGCGGGTCTGTGGGCTCGACTCTTCACCATCTGACTTCCAGGTTGGAGGAGGATATGGGCTCGGGACGGCTATTGGTGTGCGTGTTCGCTGAGATCGAAGGGGCTTTCAATAACACGGCCCTGTATTCCATCTGCAAGGCGGTGGAGCGTACTGGAGTGGGGACGGCCATTGTAAGGTGGATTCGCTCCATGCTAACCGACCAGAGGGTGGAGGCAAGACGACTGGGTGGGGAGCAGGTCTGCATCGGTTCATCACGGGGTTGTCCACAGGGTGGGGTCTTGTCCCCCTTCCTGTGGGCCTAGTGGTGAACGAGATATTGCATATTCTGTGGGAAGAATACGGGGTCTACGCTCAGGTATATGCAGACGACTTTGTGATAATGACACAGGGGACGGACGTGAGGAAGATGCAGGGGCTCCTGAACGGGGCATTGGTAAGATTCTCACAATGGTGCCTGTACAACAAGTTGGCTGTCACCAGAAAAAGGAAGATGGAGTGCAACCTCAACATTTCGATGGATGGGGTGCGTCTTTCTGCAAGCGGAAGTGTCAAGTACTTGGGGGTATGGTTCGACTCTAGGTTGACCTTTCAGGACCAGGTCGGCCTTTGGAGCTCTGTGGGAGTGCCGGAGAGCGGTAGAGGGCACTTGGGGCCTGGGGCCGAAGATCATGCGGTGGATCTACGGTACCATGGTGATGCCTATGCTCACGCATGGGTCAGTGGCATGGTGGCCGGGGACCAAAAGAGCGGGAGCAATTCTAGTTCTTGACAAACTGCAGAGATTGGCTTGCCACTGTATAACGGGCGCCATGAGAACGGCGCCCACGAGGGCCCTAGAGGCTCTGGTGGGGTTGCCCTCTCTGGCGGAACGGGTGCAGATGGAGGCGGAAAGGTCAGCTTTGAGGCTGGCGAGTTGCGGGCTCTGCATCGAGGTAACCCTGAATCGGGATCCGTACAACATTTTAGAGGGCTGGCGCGGGGATCGCGGGGTCATGGGCATGCCGAGTGACGTCATGATCCCCGAGACGACCTTCTTTGACAAATTGACCTTTCTCTTCCCATCAAGGGAATAGTGGAGAGAAGGCAGAATCGGCTCCTGGGATGGACTTGTTTCAGGTGAAAATTTTCGCTTTATTGATGGCGACCAGAGAGGTGCTTCGGCTCAACCACGGAAGCAGGAGGGTCTTCTTCTGCTCGGATGGTAGGGCTGCACTTATGACGCTGAATTCAGTGCGTACACGCTCCTTGTTGATAAAGGAGTGCAAAGGGGTACTGAGGAGAGGAAGGTCACATTGGTCTGGGTCCCGGGTCACACCGGTCTCCGGGGCAATGAGGCAGCGGACGCCTTAGCCAGAGAGGGCTCCTCGCATAGGCATATAGGGCCAGAGCCCCGCTTGGGGATCGCCCCGTGTGTGAGGCGGGGAGCTCTCAAAGCTTGGGCGAGAGACCGGGCCGCGGTGGGCTGGAGAATTGCTCCGGGAATGAGGCAGGCGAGGCTTACAATGGATGGGCCCGCCCTCTCTCAGACCAGGGAGCTGTTTAGACTGACCAGAAGGGAGTGTAGAGCACTAACAGGGGCCTACAAAGGACATTGCAGGCTTAGCAGACGACCCGGAGTGTAGGTGGTGCATGGAAGAGGAGGAGACCCCGTATCATCTGCTCAGCGAGTGCCCTGCCTTGACATGGGCAAGATTGGGAGTCTTCGGAACGGCCCTGATCGATCCGGACTCAGTGCACGGTATTGGGTTAAAGGAGTTGCTGACCTTCTATAGGAGGGGCGGCATTGTGGACGCCCTCTTGAGCAGCCTGGGGGCACAACGGGCCCATCTGGTGGCCTAAGTGCTTGGACGCCCGCGAGGGCGCCCCCTTTAATACCAATACCAATACCAATAGTATGTAAATCGAACGAAAGCAAATTCTGGAAATGATTTCTGAAATGGCCACCATCATTATCTTCAACATTTCAAATGTAAGACATTGATGATGATTGATTGATTTTTCTTAGATAACCGCAAAAAAATTGTTTACTTATTGTACGACCAAAAATATAATTTATTGCTATGACGTTTTAAGTATTTTACACTACCTTAACCGCAGACCTTAGCAGGACCGTGATAAAACCGAGCCCAACAGATGTTTATTCTGCATTAAGGAGGATTTGGGAGGTCTTGTAAATGGACCGTAACGAATATTTGTAGAAACTTGAAATTTTTATTTGAAATGTAAATGGACCGTTTTAAAATTGATTCAGCATTGATGCTGCGGGATATTTTCGAATAAGTAGAAGCGTTTATTTTAACATCAAGTGATATGTATCGTTCATAAGAGTTTAATCTAAATATTCATATATATTACGGAGATATTTGACTGTGGTCCTTCCAGTAAGTACGTATTTATGTACCTGATTCTCGAGCTTTTACTCTGCGAGGCTGTTTTCACAGGATAGTTCAAAAGATAAGGGTTACTACCCTATTTATCTTACAGGTAAGTTTGAAAATAATCATTTTTGACTTGTGTGCCTGATAAATATTTATTAGAATCTTACAATGATAAATTTTTTGAAGGTTCTTCCCTGTTAGAAGAAGACATGAAAAACAGCGCATAATTTGCAGACGAAGTGGAGATGGTAGTCGAACCTAATGGCAATTTAGAAGACGAACTACCTCAACAAATAAAAAATTGGATCTACTTATCTTCGGATGCTAAACAAATTCAGAAGGAGAAGCAGGACCAGCAATAAAAACAAGTGACATAGAACGTAAGAAATTATTACTTTGTATCAATTTTTTTATCTACATGTTTCAAGAATTGCTCGCCGAAAAAGATTAAAAAGATCGCGCTTGTTAGTGTAGGTATATAAATTCCTAGGACGGTCCTGGAATAGTTACGGGTAAGGGTCTGCTCGGCAGGGTGTTCTATAAGGGACTGCGGTTTGCAGTAATAAACAAGAGGCAAATTGTAGTCGGTTATAAAAGCACTATAATACTGATCGAAGTATACCAAGGAATAAATGCAACCATATGAGATTTTTATGTCAATAGATAATCAAATAGGGGCTCGTCACCTCAGTGAAAAACGCACAATAACAGCTTTATCCTAACCTAAAATATGGATTTTGAGAGAAATTTACACTTAAGTGGTATTATTAAAATCTAATTTACTTAATAGAAAGAAAAATGTATTATTTATAATTATTATTCTATATTATTATTTCTGAAAATTGAAAGAGAAAAAATGTCAAAACAAATAGACTTTGCACAACTGAATAACAGCGAATTACAAACCAAAAATTAGTGCTAAAATCGAAAGAGAATTAGAGAGAAGTCCAATCTGTATCAGAAGAAGGGGAAATAGGAACAACATGGAACATATTCAAAAACGATACCATCTAAGAACGAGACATCGGCTACACAAAAAACCACAAAAAGCAAGAATGGATGACGCATGAAATTCTAGACCTAATGAATGACAAGAAGACTTAAAGTAAAGATAATAGATACAAACAACTAAATAGAAGTATTAGGAAGAAATGCAGGAGGCAAATGGATGTCGACAAAATGCCAAGAACTGGAAGAACTACAAGGAAAACATGACGGTTTCAATTTGTATAAGAAGCGGCAAGACGTATCAGTTCTTAGAAATAATCATAATGAAATAGTTACTAAAATAGATGCTCAACACATTGAACAGTAATTTAGCAGATCCAGAAATATTCAAGTATAAGGTCATGCACGCCACAAGATTTCAAAAAAAATAGAAAAACTACTGGGAGTGACAAAATTTGCAAAGAAACACCTAACTGATAGCGGATAACGAAGGCAAGAGTCTGGCTCTGATAACGGCACTGTTTAAGAAAATTTAAAGTTCGGGAAAGATACGAGCCAAAAATAGACAAAAGTCAATTTGAATTCTGAAACGTGAAGCACTCTTCTCACTGGAAGTGTTAATACAAAAATGCAGGGTCATGAACGTCAATGTTTTATTGATTGTTGCAAAGCATTTGACTGCATTCACCACCAAAAGATGACTGGGAAGTATTAACAGCAACCGGTACTGGTGAACAAGATTTAGGTATAATTTTCGAACTTTACTGGCGACAAGCAGCAGCGGTTACTAATCAACCAATCATTATGGGTTTAATCTTTATTCGGGAGCCATATTTACAGAGGCACCATATGGAATTAACCGAGGAATAATGATCAATAGCACCAAAATAAGCAATATAACATAGTCACATAGTCAACATAGCAAGTAGTGCAACTGAACTTCAAGATTTGATAGATCGCATAGCCCATATGCCTTTTCGAAAGCGGCCACTTGCTTATATTTAAATGTTGATGGGAAGCTAATTGAACAAGTAGACTCAATAAAATACCTGGCAACCGATATCAATAGCAAGTGTAACCCGAGGAAAGAAATCTTGTCGAGAATTGAGCAAGCGAGAAAAACATTCATGTCAATGAGACCCGACTTAGCTCTTGAGCTCAGAATGGGAATGGTCTCATCTCGCTTTATGGATGCAAGAGATTAGAAGCTCTCGAGCAGAAGAATAATGCGGATTTCATTGGTATAAAAAAATCACCAAATTCCATGCACAAGCCTCGCGAGTTATTAGATACAATAAAACAGAGAAACATTCAGTATTTGGGACACAGTATGACGGGCGAAAGATATGGATTTCTGAGGCCTATAATAGACGGAAAAGAACAAGTAAAAAAATCGATAGCAAAAAGCCAAAACTCATAGCTTAAAGACCTCAGGAGGTGGTTTAACCACTCATCAATAGAAATTGCCGCACCACAATAGCCATTGGGATCGCCAACCTTTGCAAGGAGAGGGGGTAGTAAGAAGAAGAATAATTATCAAGATTGTCAAAATATCTTGCTTTTCTACCATTTTAATTAGTATAAACTGGTTAATTGCATTAATATTGTCCGATTCCCTAATATCGTACCTTACTGATTACGTCGAAAAGAGTCAAAAATTAACTTATATAATACAATAATATAATATATATCATAAAACATATAGAATATAAACAATGTTTCAAAAAAACTTCCACAGGCTACTGTGATACTTTTGACAAGACTTATGGATTCCTCCTGCGTCGAATCGTCAATGATCCTGTTGGCTTCTTCAGAACTTGCCCGAAACTGGCTAGCATTTTACTCTATACCTGCTTATATATTGAGCTAAATGAGGGGCATAAACACCAACCGTCTCGGATGACTGGTTGAGATATTGGTGACAGGTAAACACCTGAGTCGCGGTTAAGATGGTTAGGTTGTTTATAAATTTCTATAGACTCTCGGATGTGTTCGGCAACTGCTGATGAGTTTATTTGTTCTTAGCCTAGTTGATATTTTCGGTCCGGTCTCTCCAATGCATATGCATGGAATGCTGTAAACTACTGGTATCTCAAATCGAATTTTATCATTGATGGATAGAGGATGTTAAAGAATTTTTGGACAAGTGGTAGATCTGGTTTTGACGTTATATTTTTTTATAACATTAAAAATCTTAAGCGTTCCATCATAAAATACACTTCACCACAACATTCCAATAGCAATGAGGCCGAAAGCAATCCTACACTTATCACTGTGGTCCTTCCTTACATTCAAAACATCACTTACCAAATCTCAAAACTTCGAAACAAGTATAAGGTCAAAACCAGATATACCCCTTGTCCAAAAATCTTCGATCTCTCAAAGACAAAATTCCGTTTGGGATACCAGGAGTCTTCAGCATTTCATGCATATGGGCCAAAAAATACATTGGAGACAACGGACGAAAAACATAACTAGGCACATAGAATATGAATGAATTTTAAGACTAAGACAAATAAAATCATCAACAGTTGTCGAACGCAATCACGAAACCGGACATAAAATTTTATTCGATAAAACTAAAATTCTTGCATGTAATCAATTCTTCTACCAACGAAAAATGCGAGAGTCTATAGAAATCTATAAGCAACCTAACAATCTTAACCGCGACTGAGGTATTTACCTGTCACCAATATGGGAATCAGTCATCCGAGACGGTGTTTATGCCCCTCATTTAGCCACGCTCCCCACAAACAATATATAAGCGGGTACAGAGTTAAATGCGAGCCAGTTTCAGTCAAGCTCTGAAGAAGCCAACACGATGATTTTTCGCTAGTTCCACTCAATAAAAACCGATGCAAGAGGAAGCCAGAAGTTTTATAAAAAAATATAAACACCAATGGTAATAATTATAGATACAGAGAGTAAAATCTTTCCCTTACACCAATATAGCTGAACGAGAAAATAATTTTCTAATTGAGAAAAATTATGTTTAGCGCTCTCACTTTTTCACTAATAATATACTTATATAAAAAAGACACTTTGCTTTGCTCATACTAAAAAATAGAGGAGAAAAAAAAGGTGAATTTCTTCCCATTTGTCACACATTGATATTGTAGTCGATTATGCAACCAGTTATACGTCTGCCTATTTTTCACACAAAAATAGTTTACTTTGTTCGTTCCTGATTCAACAAGCCACTATTTACCTGCAATTCAAATTGTCTAGAGACGGCAGTGGTATATATCAAATTGAATGTGGGAGGAGTTTGGGTCAGTGTCAACAACAGAGCGTACAGTCTCATGTTCTTGACATTAAATGAACAATAGTTCCACTTGCAAATTTCTAGATATACTTTCTCAAACTGCAATAGAAAAACGATTAAGCGGGCACTCGAAAGGTCTTTCTGGAAACATTTTCCGTTTACCCTGTCCTGATACTCCTGGGCACAGCTGCAAACGAAATCTTCGATGACGGCTAATACCAACAGCTGGTAAATTCCCACTAGCAACTGAAGCGGCGTTTTCGATGAAAAGTCCTGCGCGATTGGATAAATCATTATAATAACAGTAGCTTAAAATATTTTCTAATTTTGCAGATACGCAGAATGTTAAATCCTCAAAAAAACTTTTATATTGCTTCTTTATAATTTCATTCTACCCCATTTTTAATTTTAACTTACATGTATGAATGATCACTTGCAAAGTCGTCCCTTTTTACGAGGTGTACCACTGAAGAAACTAACTGAGTCCTACCGCTGTTTTTACACCCAATATGTATGTGTCCCCCAAGGCTCCATTCTGAGACCTTTGTTGTTCATTGTTTTTATAAATAATCTTTCCTATTGTGTCGTTTAATAAAACATTGGCTGCATTGGAACAAATCTCACAAAACCAATTGCAAAAGGGAAATGGTTTATGGCAAATAGATTTCTCCTAACCACATAGAAACTCAAATTATGATTACCAAAACCATTTCCAATCTATTTTTCGCGAGCACAGAATTATGCCTCTGCCATGTTTGTATTTCTACTATACTCTGTTAGAAATCCGTACAATAAAAGTGGATCTACCTTCACTTGTAATGTAAAAATTCTCAAATTTAAATTAACCAAATGTGAGAAAAACTACCCCTACTTCAAGACTTATAACTGTCTTCCTCACAAAATAAAAAATATGTCATTTTTAATTTAAAAAAAATACATTAATAAATATTTTGTCTCACATCGTGAGTTTTTTTACTGCTTGTGTTCTTTGTTTTAAATTGCTTTACTATCTATATTATTTTGTTGACTTGCTATAATGTAACATAGTCAATAAAGTTCTATTCTATTCTAGTTTCATTCAAAAGAGCTCGAGCAACTAAATAAATGTATATTTGATTGACCTGATATAAATGATAAATCTATGTCGTATTTTACAGTCGTTTCAAATTGGTGATCCTCACGTGACATTATAGAGCAAGGGTCGAATCAGTGATTTTTAAAACATCTCGTATAGTATCAAAACTTCTGAAAGTTAAAATCTCTTTTAAAGTGATGTTTGACTGTGGTATATACCTAAGGTTTTTGCAATATATGTATTTTAACAACTTTCGTTAGTGTGAGTAGATCGAATTTTCTCGAATGAATTCACAAATTAGTGTATGCTGACGGTTAATTCTAAAGAAGGTTGCTGGTTGCTTCAGAATAACATTAATGTTATATCAAAGTGGTATCTATTTAATGAATGAAGTTTAAATGTTTCTAGGTGTAATGTGCCTACTTTTTCTAGAAAGCTGGACATAATTATATTTAATCAGGTAAAAAGATATTGGATTAACTGAGTGATGTTAAAGACTTGGAACTATTAGAACTCTGTACTATTCTTAAGTAAGATCTAGAGACGGTTCCTTAAATACTCAGGTTTTTAAGGAAGACACCATATAACCTCGCAGGACATTAATTCTTTAAAATTTCTGTATGGGCTCTTAGATGGTACAATGAACTCTGAGAAGCTTGTCAGGAAAGTAAAATTTTGAAGGCGAGATTTAGGCCTACGTTTCATCTCCCATGTTTATATCAGTCGCCAATTTTGTTTATCTATGGTAACTTTAATTTTGTTTTAGACATATGTGATATTAATGCGGATACACTTCATGAGATTGTTGCATATTTTTTTATTCATATGCGGAGCTTATAACTGCTTAGGGTGCGTGTGTGAGTAATTACTTAGCTTCCTTGTATTTTCTAATGTATTTTGTTGAAATAAATTTGCTTATTACATACTGATAACACCCAACTGGTACACGAGTTTAACTTAATTTCGATCTCGGTATAGTAACAAACACATCTTAAGGTAATTTCTAAAAGGACACGAATTATGCTATTTGCTCTAGCTGAAAGCTGCCATATTAAAATTCAAAACTATAAAAATTTACACACTCTCCGCAATTAAGTTCTCATTTGAGTTACACGTTACCTTAGTAGGCAAGAAGTTTGATAATACAGTCCTCTAGTCAAATCAAACCTCGCTTTCAGCCAATAAGACCATGCCGCGTTCAATAATCAACATGGCCGCTGACAGTTGGCCGATTCAATAGTTTTCAGTTTGCACGGGCCATTTTTTCTAGAATAATCGATCAGACAATTATGTGGACATTGTTGTTGAGTAGTTTACCAAGTGTTAAATGAATTTGCTTCGAAAAACCAATTTATTATCCAATTTTGCTACAAAAAAATAAGTTCTTATTCTGTATCCAGTTTGCCTTAATTGTTAATGGACAGGCGTTTGATAAATCTTCGGTCTGAAATATCCGAATCACGTCGTTCCAGCTTTCTAGAGTATGCCAAAAAAGCAAACTTTTCATTCATCGTTTGGACAAAAATTTTGCTCCTACAAACCGCTGTGTGGACAATGGCATATTTCAGACGATTTCGACGAATGGTCGAGTAAGCTAAAGTAAGCATTTTTTATTTGCCTAACCGATGAGGTCGCAGCTGAGCGAAGAAAATGTCACCACATGTAACCTACCTCCTCTGATAGGTTAGCTTAGGTTTGTTTTGACTTCCAGTCAGCTGATTGGTCGGTTGTGTCTTAATGTTTAAATTATTAAGGCAGTCAAGAGGAAAATAGGAAAATCCAATATCTCGATCTTATTCTTGCGGGTTTCTTGTCGATTTCTAGCATTTATTGGTTTGGTATCAATATGACGTCAGTTTGTAATGTCAGACGTAACTTTGAGTTACTCAAGTACCTTCAAATATGCAAAGCTGATCTAAATTACGTGTTCATCATTGGTAACTTTGTTATGAGTAGAGACACAAAGTCGGTTGAATTAGCAAACTAGTAAATTTTCTCCATTGATTACGATAGTGAAAACAAATTAACCAAAACAGAAAACAGTTTAGGGAAGAAATGAGGAAAATGTATTCTTTATAAATAATACACCCTGTATATTTTTTACTCTAATGTTCATGAATCACCAGCCGAACAAAAAAGTTCATATGCAACATTTTCCTAAAATAGAAAATAACCACATTTCTCTTTTAGACTAGAAACATGGAAATAATAAAATAAAAATAGAAAAAAAAACTAAAATGCGATGTTTAACTAATAAAGTTATTTTAATATGTGTTCAAAAAACGAACCTCGTTCTTCAATATTTTTTTCTGTTGAACGAATTGCCTTTGGTATTGTTCTACCAAGTATCTGGTTTATGTTTGCTCTTATTGCAGGCTTTAAAACAACGTGTTGGTATTTTTACTTATAAATTTCGTCCTTTAAATAACTCCACAAGTAGAATTCAAGTGGGGATATATCTGGTGATGAACAGCTCCACTTGTAGCAATCCGTTTCACCAATAGTGATGATTTTTTTGGTTATAAAATCCAGAATTTGAAAATTTTGATTTGTCAGTCCACAAAACATACCGAAAATCATTTATGTTTTGGCGGCAAAAATTAACATACTAATGATGTGCATTCTCTGCCAGAAGCACTTGAGCTCGTTCTAATTTATAAGGGCAAAATTTGTGTTTTTTTAATTCATTAGACTGTATTAAAGGATAGGTTAGGATCTTTGTTTATGCCTCGAATGGAATAGTCACGATATGCTTCAAAATTTCCAAGAACGCCAAATTCCCCGTTTTCACTCACAATAAAACTTCTCGTCTCCTAACAGACAATTTACTGCATGCCAAATAGGACTCTAACATGTCCCACTTTTCTTCATGTGTGAACACCATTTTCGAATAAGTCATACTGTAAAATTAATTTAAATAACTGATAAAATAATACTAATAACTAACACATTAAAACTAATTTTTTGGCAACTAGTTTTCTGTTTTGCACACAATATTCTCTGCACCTTTATCGAATCTTTAAAAATAATGAAAATGTTTTTGCCAAGAGACGGAAACGAAAAAATTTTATAATATATGAAGACTTGGAAATTATTATTTTTTCTTGCGCTAAAACAAAACAATAAAAGAAAAATGGACTTTTATTTTGCAACCACTCATAGCAATCCAGTCCAAAAGAAAAATGACCTAGAATATATTTTCGTAATTTTTTCCTAAATCCTACACTCAACTGTTTTCTCTTTTCATCATCGTATAATCAGTGGAAAAAATGCTATTAGTTTGCTACTTTAACCGACTCTCTATATATGATAAACATTTAATTTAGATCAGCCTTTATAAGGAAAAATAATCGTTAATACCATTTGGGTGTGACAAAGAATAATTATAGGGAAAAATGATTTTTACATTTTAAATTCCATTTGAATATAAACAAACCCAATGATATTCCATGACTCCCGGCGGAACTTAGCTTACCGAAAATATAAATGCAATCACTCCAAAACTTAAGTAGAGACCGCTCACCAGTGTCGGTATTGCGATCGTATTGACTTGGGCTCCGTTTTGCAAAGTTTCATCCATCCTGAAAAATAATTGGCCAAATTTGCCACCAACAAACTTTGTTCCACGTTTCTAAACAGTCGTCCATAGGTATAAAATTAACCCATAAAACTGTAGAAATTAGGCAATATTTCAGCTAAATAAGATGTAAATTTGCTTTCTGACTACGCCCTTAAGAAACTTAAGAAAACTAGCGAAAAGCAGTTAATTATGTTATAAAACTAGAAGAACAAATGTGGGATTCTGATCACGTGGTTGACCAAACCGAGAGGACCAGACATCTTCTCAGATGAGGAAGAATATGATATTTATTTGTCTGTAATAAATGGTATACTTGGTATACCATTGCAAAGAGCACAAAATACCAGACTTAATTTTAACACCCACCTTACAAATTTTGTTATGGGTTATATCAAAAAATAGTAGACAGAAAACTTGTGGGCTTTATTCATTTCTCCTAATTATTTAATTGAACAAAAGATCCAAGAACAAACCTTTTATGTGCGTGTATAGTAGAAAACTTTGTGCATATACTGGGTGATGCATTGCCGAACATAGGGAATTCCATGTCAGGTGCCTAAATATTGGCTCCAATGTCCATTGTAATTGTAATATAACTTTTTTCAGGATCTTAATAAGCCAATCATCAGTGATTGAATTAATGGTGGCAAAATTGCAAAAGAATATTTTCCATGACGCTATTTCCAAAACTTGACAACGTCAAGCTGGACAATGACATATCAAATAAAGGTTGCTTTGCAATAAAGACATGCTAATTTGGTTTCACACATTCCACCACACCACATAGGACGTCTCTTTTTCAAAGAAGCTTCTCCTATAACGTTTACAAGCTTTGCAATACCGTTCCTCTGTCTTTAAAAGCCTTATCACCATTAAACTTAAAAAAAAAAGAGACATGAAATGTTCAGCCAACAAGCAAATTGCCAGTGATTTTCAAGTAAGTTCAGTCCTCGAATTGTCTATCCAATTTTTAATTTTTATATACACGTACACATTTTCTTTTTTTGCTATAGTTATCTCATACGAACTAATAATTTTAAAATAAAAAATTATTTTATAGGGGTTGAACTTGGAACAGTTTTAATTGCTTTCATCTCCTTTTTTTGCAATTTATGTGGCTTATTGGTATTTTATTGTATTGTAAATAAAACATTGCAGAATAAATGTATTTTTATTATTATTATTATTATTAAATACTACTAAGCATGTAGATATATCATTGTTTTTCTTATTATCAAACTCATGCTCGGTTCTGAAGACCTTGTACCTTAAAGCGTTCTTGGAATGACTTTAATTTAAAGGGAGGTTTAAGCAACAAGGAAGCTTCAAGGAACGATCTATAATTTTGATTCTCAAGTCGTTTATTAAAAATAATTAACATTATAAAAATACGACTACGAGATATTGCTATAATGAAACATTATTTTTTACGCAAATGTTCAAACAACATTTCATTAAAAGTTAAACAATATCCTAAGCGATCATAAAATTTCTAATATTGCTTAGTTGACATTGCGAAATCCAGTCACATCGAAGGAAATGCCGTTTTGTAACTGGTTAAGATTTTCAGATATAACAGTTTTATAGAATACACTTTTCAATGGACCTCACAGACAGACGTTGTTCGGCGAGAGGTGAAATGACGAGGGTGGCCAAAGGGTTCGGCACCTTGGCCCTATAATATTCCCGTTAAAGTACTTCCCAAATACTCCCTAACCATACGGGAATTATCTGGTATGGCCTGTTCATAGATATAAGAAAGTGACCGATTGCTTTTGAACGCATTATCCAAGGGTGGTCATTAACATACAATGCAACAAGATTATTATTATTAATTAAGGTAATTATTAATTAATTAATTATTAATTATAAATTATTAATTAATTACAATAATCTTGTTGCATTGTATGTTAATACAATAATCTGTTCAAAAGCAATTGGTCACTTTCTTATATATATGAACAGATCATACCAAATCTGATCTTCGCGAACAACTTCTTCTAATGCGGGTTAAATTTGAATTTGTAATAAATCCAAATACATTTCTGTCGTGTAACATTTATTGCTTGAGGATATTGGCTTCGTGAACAAAACCATATTCATTATCTTGGCTCCAATGGCAGCAGTTTTGAATATTGACCATGTACACCATGTTCCAAATAAAACGATCCACTACACGATCTGGAAACCCATAGGAGATGCGAAAAAAGGTTTCATAAAAAAGTTTCTTGGACGGAAGATTTAAATTTTGTTGATACATGCTGTCCCAAACTGTCCCCCCGACATCAACTCTATTTTAAATGGAACACCCTGTATATTTCGACATTTTTAGAATCCTTGGTTAGTTGCGGCAATGTAACCAAAAAACTATAACTTATTTAAAATACAAATAAAATATGTACTAAGAAAAAACTTGACAGCGATGAACTTTTTAAATAAAAATATGAAGAACAACAAAAACAAAGAGAAATGTCAAAGTCTGTTTATACCTTAACGCGTCAAAAAGAAGATTGCGATGTCATAGCCAACTACATTTTTAAATATTTTGATATTTCTTTGTTGTTTTGATACCTGGTGAAGCGAGCATTTTAACAGTAACATTTTTAACTAAATCTTATGGATCGAATTAACGAACTCTTTTAAGTTAACTTTTTATTTTATAAACTTATTTATTCAAATTTGTTACCTTGTTTAGTTAGTCTTTAATTATTAATTTTTGTTATTAGGTATTTTCAATCTAGCTAGATAATTAATTATTAAATGTTTCTTTAAATATGACCGAAGTTTTATTAAATCTGTTAAATTTCAACCTATTGGTAGCAATAGGTTTTATTCGAATATCTGGAGTATTATACCTGTTCAGTTTTTATGTACTTTATGAATGTGAGCCAATAGTGGCAACGCCGCACGACACCACGAAAAAGGGAAGAGTGAAAAATCGCGAGAACAGTGGCGAATAAACTGTTAGAGAATTAGGTCGCAAAACGGGGGGATTGTCCACATGTAATTTTTATTTAAACTGGTAGTGTAGAAGTCTATCTCTGTTCCTTTTGAAAATCAGTAAAAGCATTGAGAAGTTTGCGTGGGTGTTATTTCAACAACCAAGCAAGTGAGAAAACCCCAAAACATTATTGGCCCCGAGCATCGGACAGACTTGGACATAAACGACGTATCAACCTGAGAATTGCAATCATCGACACTTGTCGCCTGTCAGACGAAAGCTAGAGCGATAATCAAGGTCAGTCCTTTCCAATACCTATCACTTACCCAAAATATTTTGCCTGCGCACGTAATTCGAAAAATATAAATCTCAGATATTTGTCTCTCGTTCTGAATTGCAATCGCATTAAGTGGATTTACACGATGTCATTAGCTCTGTAGGCAAAAGGTTGAGGGTCTCGAATAATAATCATAATAATTAAAAAAAAAAAAATCGTAAACTTCCTATAATAAAGACACGTAATTTCAATTAATCACCGACACAAAAACAAACCTCGAGCAAAAACCTCTTCGAATTAGAATATCTATCTATTTCACGCCGGCACGATGTCAGATGTAGGTGATAACGACTTACACGATTCAGAATTTGATTTAAACCGTTTAAAGCACAGCAGAGCCCAAATCAAGGGAGAATTAACTCGCTTTAAAACTTTTTTAGCAAAAAGTAATATCGATCAATATATCGAACAATTACAATTAAGATTTGAATCAATAAAACCCACTTTAGAAAAATTTAAATCAATTCAAACTCAATTTGAAGAATTATTATTAAGCGATTTTCCGGATAATTATGACGAATCGAACGCGAAGAATTTGAAACCCGCTATTTCGACGCCATAGCTGAAGCCAAAAAAATATTAGATCAACATCATTTCCAAGAAGTTCTAGGGGAATCACACATTCCGATGCCTGCCCCGTCCCTCTCCCCGGAAACGGATCCGTGGACGGCTTCGAGTCGATACTCGTCTGACGCCAGGTTGTTAAATGTCGCAAAATTACCGCAAATAACTTTACCCGAATTCAGTGGTTCGTACAGCGATTGGCAAAGGTTTCGCGACATGTTTCGGGCCATCGTTCATAATAACAGCACACTATCGAACGTACAAAGATTTTATTATATAGCAGCCTCCCTTAAAGGCGAGCCGAAAAATATAATTGGTTCTTTAACTCCAACAGACTCAAATTATGAAACGGCATGGGCCCTTTTAGAAAGACGGTATGAAAACAAGAAGATTATAATAAATTCGCACTTGAAAGAAATAATGGATTTAACTGCTTTAAATAAAGAATCTCACACGGCTTTAAGACATTTTTCCAATACCTTCTTTAAAAATTACAGGTCTTTAGAATCGTTGGGGGAAAATGTAGGTCAATGGAACACGATTTTAATATATATTTTAGTATCCAAGTTCGATTTAAATACTAAACACGAATAGGAAAATTTTTGCAAATCCATAACCTCTCCGAAAATTAACGATTTTAACGAATTCCTATCACAAAGATGTCAAATGCTAGAAACTTTAGATACAAAGGCATGTACAACTATTAAAAAACCTTACGAATCGCGATCGTTTGTTTCTTCGGGAGCCAACTGTATCCGAAAATGCAATTATTGCAAAAATGAACACCCTTTATACTTATGCGAAAAATTCAAACAATTGTCAGTCTCGGATCGATTCGATATGGTAAAGAAAATGAATTTATGTCAAATTTGTTTAAGGTATGGGCATAAAAATTCAGAATGTCGATCTTCTGCATGTAAAATTTGTCAGCAAAGACATTCAACTTTATTACATCGATCAAAAGAAAGTTCAAACAACAACTTGCGCGACATTTCAGAAAATTCTAAAGAAAAAACGACTTGCAATGTTACCACTGACAATTCTTTGAAGAGCGCGCAAAGCGGCGAAAAGTCAATTAATAACCAAGTAATGTCTAATACTTGTCAAAATAGCACCAATTCTTATATTTTACTGTCCACGGCAGTCGAACAATTGTACG